GGGTCGCTCTGTCAACTAAAGGCATGTTTTAGAGTTTCAATACTCCAGTTAACGATTAATCGATTGTTACACTAGTTGACGATAATGTCAATAATTGATTAATCCCGATTAATCCGATTAACTGTCTCAGCCCTAACATGTTTACATATTTTTTTCCGTTTTTTTTAATAATTCCTGCTCTAAGTGGGTCGCTCTGTCAGCTAAAGGCTTGTTTTAGAGTCTCTATACTCCAGTTAACGATTAATCGATTACTAAATTAGTCGAGGATTATTTAAATAAATCGATTAAACTTATCCATTTAGTTATTTCAGCAAAGACTGTTTGTTTTCTTCCTTTCATTTGAAGGTGGACAGAGCAGGGTCTCGAACCAGCAACCCACTGGTTATTGGACGAACCCCCCACCAATACCCCTGATACACTGAAAACAGACACAGATCAGCTGCCCTTTCCAACAGAAGTCTAATAATCCTGCTTATATCGTCAATTATTGCAACATCATCCAGAAACACAGATATGAATGAATCTTCCCTTTGGGATATAAAAAAAACCGGCTTTGTATTGTGATAACTGATCCCGTCAGGTTATGGTTTTGTGTTGAGCTGCTTCTTCATTTAAGTATCATTATTACCTTCTATGCAGACGATCATGTGATATAATGCTAAAAGCAGACGAGTTACAAAACCTCCTGGATTATATGACACGAGTTCAGTGAAGAAAAATTCAAACTATTTTCTGTTACGTTGAGTCAAACATTAAGAGAAAAATCCTGTTTTATGTGTATTCCTGTGCAGACATGTTTCTAATCTTCATGTAGAAGTTCAGCATCAGGATAATCCTGCAGAGGAGGTTTTAATCATGCCTTTATAACAAACACAAAACATGTCTGTGTGGTATTAAGAACTGAACTAACAGCTGCAAACACAAACATACTGAAACTCTGTCTTTATCCAGATGAGTCAAACAGCTCAGAAGAAGCGGCGCTACAGACTTTCCAGTTCATCCAGATCCTTTTATTAACTGGAAACTGAAGTAAATCAGGTCCAACCGGCTGGATGCAGGAACATGCATTTATCCTGTGGAATTGCATCTATGTGTTCTGCTGTTTCAAATGTTTTCTCACATCATATTCAGTGTGTTTTCCTTTGACCACATGCACAGCAAAACCATCAGACAGAAACAGAAAGTGGTCTGGGGGTGAGAAAGTCGGTGAGGTTCTCTGAAGCCGAGTAGCACCCGTAGTTTTAAAAGTAAAATTAGTTCAAAAGTCGCGTTAGAGCAGCAAGTTTCTTTGAAACGGAAAAGAGAAGTGAGAGGAAATAAAAGGGCTGATTTAACTTCACACTGAAGGACCCATTCAGCTCTCATCTGGGCTTCGGGAAATCTAAACATGATTTCAGCTCAGAACCTGAATTAATTACAAAAAATTACCCAAAAGACGTCACAAAAACTTAGAAAGCATGTTTTCCATTCCACAGTAAACCAAGAGCTTCAATCAGAGATCCGGTTTCTATGCATGTAGGTCAAACAGCGCATGTTATGGACATGCTAATAAGGGAGTATCTCAAATGGAGTAAGCAGGTTTTATCTGTTATTTATGACTGATGCCTTTTAGCAAAACCTAAAAAATGCGGCAGATCAGAAAAGGAATGAGGATCTCCAGAGTTCGTAGGTTTCTGCTCCAAACGGAGGATTTTTAACCCTATAATGCCAAATGTATCGTATTTGATACATACGGTTTCTGAAATGTTTTGC